GTTGAATTAGATTCTCCAAGGAGGAGGGAGCCTCCACCCTAGCTAATTCGTCCTTGAGGGACTCAGACAGACCTAGATGGAACTGGTATTTTAGGGCTGCGTCATTCAACCCGGTATTGGCGGACCATTTGCGGAATTCCACAATGTAGTCCTCCACATGCCGTCGGCCTTGTTGTAGAGCATGAAGGGTGGATTCAGCAGTAGAGGTCCTCTGGGGGTCATCATAAAGAGCTGCCATGGCTTCAAAGAATGTGATCACTGAGTTTAGCGCTGGTTCTTTTTGTTCCAGTAAGCTGTGTGCCCATGATTGAGGTTCGTCAGATATGAGAGAAAATGATGAACCCCACTTTAACTGTCTCAAGTGAGAAGGTCCTGGGTTTCAGTGCAAAATACAACTCACAAGCATTCTTGAAGGCTCGGAATTTACGTCGGTCCCCAGGAAGCGTTCCGGAATGGTAACCCTGAGTAGTACCACAGCGGGTGTAACAGTGGAAAGCGAACTGGCTGGTGCCACTGTAGGGATAGGACTACTAGGCAATGGATTCTGGTCTGCAGAAGTCGCAGCAGTAGTGAGTGAGCGAATGAAGATGTCCCTCCAGCTGAAAATATTCCTCCTGCAGATCCTTGACCATGACCACTTGCGTAAGTGCCGTCATCTGTTGGCACAGGGCCTCTAATGCAGAAGCACCTCTCTCGGCCTCAGACATAATGGGCTGATTGATACTGTCACGTACCTGGTGAGAGATGCCAATGGAGAGAGGGCTTCCCTTGCGGCTAAGTTCCAGACTCCCCTGAGAGTGGGACAGCAGGAGTCAGGACCAAAGTGGCACAGGTCACCTGTAGGAGTGCTTATTGGTGGTCCACCCAGGAGCACAGCTGATGCACTGAGATGAGGTCTGCAGACAGGTGGTGCCTGTGTGAGGTATGAAAGCCCTTCCGGGGAACAGGATTACTGGATAGCCGGTTGAAAGCCAAGGTCTGGTACTGGGTGGAGATCAGAACAGACATAGTCAGATGGGATAGCCGAGGTAGGTCATGCACAGAGGAGAGAATCAGCCAAGCCGAGGTCAGCACAGAGGAGCAAGAGAGAATATCCGTTAGCCAGCAGAGGTCAAGTCAGGGTTTAAGCAGAGAAGACAGGTCCAGGAGCAAGCCGAGTCGGTAACAGTAACAGGAAATCACAGATCAGTAGCACAGGAACAGGAAATAACAGTAGAACAGGAACAAGGTACTGGGGAGCCAAAGATCAACCAGCACTTGAGAGTAGTGCAGGGCTTCCTTATAAAGGCCGTTTGCCACCAAATTTGAGCCAATGTGAACTTCTGCGGCCATGCAAGGTACTGGCAGGGTTGCCAGGTCTCCTAACACCTCTGCCAAGGACAGAGCCCTGACATCTGTCCCCTCTACCCTCTGGCACCCGCTGAACTGTGCCCACAGATGGGCAAGCAGAGCCAGAGAAGCATAGTAGGTACAGGGGAGGTTCACACAGATGGGGTGGCAGAGGCTGGCACCTGAAAGGAGAGCCCTGTGGCTTGCCCACAGCAGGGATAAAGATTAAAAACAATACTTGCCCGGCCCCCAGAACTACATGTCCCGGGCGTCGGGTGATGTAAAGTGACCATCCCTGCATGATGAGCCGACATTGACCTCACAGCACTGCCTCAGAGCAAACTAGTCATAGGAAGGATCAGATTTATCATTCCTTGTCTGCAGATCTAAAACTCATCAAAACCAGTTCAGAGACCAAACAAACCCAACAGAGAAAAAAAGGGCCCCCGGACCTCAAAATTGTAGTAAACACTAAACAGTCCAAACAAAATGTCTTCCCATGGGGGGAGTAGTTCTTCAATGTCCAGCAACCTCCTATTCCCCCCTCACATCCACATCCTATTATTGTGTGACCAATACCATCCAAATCATTCTTACTTTCATTTCCCAAAGTTATCCGTCTACAAGGAGACCTGTATAGATCACATGATGGCACCAATGAGGATGGAGGAGGACCGGAGTCACATGACTGAGAAGATACTAAACCTCACCCTGGAGATCATCTACCTGACTGACTGGAGAGGTCACATGAGGAGGATTCTGGGAGGTCACATGACATCACTCTTATCTCTATTAATAAAACACAGACCTGACCAGAGAGAGTGAGGAGGAGGATTCTGGGAGGTCACATGACATCACTCTCTCTCTATTAATAAAACACAGACCTGACCGGAGAGGTGAGGAGAGGAGGATTCTGGGAGGTCTACACATGATATCTCTATTGGTTCCACAACCTACAGAGATTTCCTTCTGGGAGTCTGACATGATATTCAGGTGATCAATACAGAGACCATCACAGGTGATCATATGACCATCACAGTGCCTCCATGTGACTCCCTAAACCCTGAGAGACACAAACATGCAGAAGATTCTAGATTCTAGAAGTCACCAAGAAGATGATGGAGCTGCTGACAGGAGAGGTGAGCGGTGCCGGGAATTCTGGGACATTCTCCAATCACTGATCATTATCAGTATCATTAGGATCTGTACATTATCTGCATTGTTACCATTGATGTCATTTTTATTATATATTCAGAGTGGAAACCTGAGAGATCCTAAAGTTGAGGTTAAAGAAGAGATAAAAGAGGAGGAGGATGAGGATGGGGGGATGGAGGAGTCAGAGCTTCTAAGAGAACACAAAGATCTGTACCAGGACACCATGGTGGAGTCATCCAGCTACAGGAACCCACCAGAGAGATGTCCCCGTCCTCTGTATTCCCGGGGATTCCACACAGGAAGGTCACACCATCCCTCACCATCATCAGGTAGATGAGGAACAATCACTGATAGTATCATTAGGATCTGTACATTATCTGCATTGTTACCATTGATGGGATTTTATTATATATTTCAGAGTGGAATCTCGGGGATGATAAATTGATGTTAAAGAAGAGTATAAAGAGGAGGATGAGGAGGATGGGGAGTGATGGAGGAGTTTTCTCAGAAGGACACAAGGATATGGTGGAGCCACCTAATACCAGGAACCCACCAGAGAGATGTCCCCGTCCTCTGTATTCCCGGGATTCCACACAGGAAGATCACACCATCCCTCACCATTACAAGGTTGGTGGGATGGAGCATCTAGAACATGGACTTGTGGAGATATATTTGGATTTTTCATGTTAGCTTATATTTATATATTGAAAAATTCTAATTTTCTTGGTTTAGGGTGAAGATCTGATAGATATAAAAGTTGAGATTAAAGCAGAAGAAGAAGAGGCGTATGTGAGGGATGATCAGCAGTCTATGGAGGAGGATGGAATAACGGGGACATTTATAGAGGAGGACACTCCTACAGAGATCAGCACAGGTGGGTCATGAATACACTAAATACACTCCTACCCCTGCACTATATACTCTATCACATTACATACTCCTTACATTACTCTATGTTGTACATTACATACTCCTGACCCCTGCACTATATACATTACATACTCCTGACCCCTGCACTATATACTCTATGTTGTACATTACATATATACTCTATGTTGTACATTACATACCCTGACCTCTATGTTGTACATACTCCTGACCCCTGCACTATATACTCTATGTTGTACATTACATACTCCTGACCCCTGCACTATATACTCTATGTTGTACATTACATACTCCTGACCCCTGCACTATATACTCTATGTTGTACATTACATACTCCTGACCCCTGCACTATATACTCTATGTTGTACATTACATACTCCTGACCCCTGCACTATATACTCTATGTTGTACATTACATACTCCTGACCCCTGCACTATATACTCTATGTTGTACATATCCTGACCCCTGCACTATATACTCCTGTTGTACATTACATACTGACCCCTGCACTATATACTCTATGTTGTACATTACATACTCCTGACCCCTGCACTATATACTCTGCACCCCTGCACTATATACTCTATACATTACATACTCCTGACCCCTGCACTATATACTCTGTTGTACATTCCATAGTCCTGTGTTGTACATTCCATAGTCCTTTCCCCCCCCCCCCCCCCCACTGCTATATATACACATAATATGGATTCTCTTTTGTTACACCCATTTCCTCCCAGCTGGACATTTTATATCGGATGATGTGATTGGAGCACAGACTTTTACATGGTGATAATAATGTGATAACATCCTCCAACTTTGGACCCTTAAACAGAAAGTGATAATGAGGGAGGAGTCAATACCCCAATGATGGTGGTCTTCAGGATCAGTCCAGTCTTCATCTTGGTTGTTCTCCCCCCATCCTCACTCTCTGACCTCTGGTGGGGCTCAGCCCCGCTGTTCTTCATGACTAAATCATGGACTAAATAAGGAAGTGCAGTACTTCTTGTGTTGGGAAGATGGCGATGAGTGATAGAGGGGGTGGGGACCCTCGTCCTATAATCCCCTCATCACTGTCCCTCCTATAAAAGACAGTTCTGGTTGTTTCCTCACTCTCTGACTAAGGTCCATGAATAAAGAAATGACCTGGTAGGAGATCAGAGGAGCCATTTCCTAGTTCTCTTGAGGTGGAATTGTAAGCTCCTCAGAGACCAAGCTGCCTGATGTGGGTGGAGTCCTGGTTTGGGGGAACCAATCAGCTCCTGTCTAGTAATCCTCTTTGTCTTTGTATTTTAGTCCATGGCCGGGAGATGAGGAAAACCTCCGAGGATTGTCTCACTTTGTCTCCAGACTGGAAAGTAGTAGAAGATGAGGACATCACACAGTATAGTCCAGGAGAAAACCCGGCTCCCTCCAATGTCCATCCGGCACCACCCAGTGTAGATGGACCATCGGATTCCTCGTATCCTGAGGAACCTCAGACTGTGCGGGACCGGGCTGGCCTTCCAACAGGGAAGAGCTTCTCCTGTACTGAGTGCGGGAAATGTTTCCAATCTAAATCTGATCTTAATGTGCATAAAAGATCTCACACGGGGGAAAAGCCATATTCCTGTCCTGAGTGTGGGAAATGTTTTTCACGGAAGTCCAATCTTCACACACATCAGAGATCATCAGAGATCTCACACGGGGGGGAAAGTCATATTCCTGTCCAGAGTGTTGGAGATGTTTTTCAGTGAAGTCCAATCTTTACACACATCAAAGATCTCACACGGGCGAGAAGCCGTATTCCTGTCCTGAGTGCGGGAAATGTTTTTCAGAGAAGTCTGGTCTTCATAAACATCAGAGATCTCACACGGGGGAGAAGCCATATTCCTGTCTTGAGTGCGGACAATGTTTTTCAGAGAAGTCCAGTCTTCATAAACATCAGAGATCTCACACGGGGGAGAAGCCCGTATTTTTGTCCTGAGTGCGGGAAATGTTTTTCACAGAAGTCCAGTCTTCGTAAACATCAGAGATCTCACACGGGGGAGAAGCCGTATTCCTGTCCTGAGTGTGGAAAATGTTTTTCAGATAAGTCCAATCTTCACAGACATGAGAGATTACACACGGGGGGGGAGAAGCCATTTTCCTGTCCTGAGTGAGGGAATGTTCCTCACTGAAGTCCTGTCTTCCTGTACATCAGGGGGTCCACAAAACCCTGGAGGTATATTAGTGCCTTGAGTGCGGGAAATGTCTTCTAGATGAATGTTGCTGGACATCCCAGCTCTCATGTGGGGAAGAAGCACACCCTGATATACACCTCAGATATACTCCATGGCTGATCTTCATCATGGAAGAAACAGTTCATAAGGAGATCAGAGGTCCCCAAAGACATGGATGAAGTGTGGGACCGGTTGGCCATTGATTGCAGGAGAAGAATAAAAATGTAGTCCTGACCTAGAGCACTGGGCTGACTTTTGGGGGGTGCAGCCTACAGTGAAGGAAATGTGTATTTTCTCCCCTGCTGATGTTGAATGTTCGCCCCTCACACAGAAATGATCGGTCTAACAATGGAATGTTCGGTGTACACACGGTCTAACAATGGAATGTTCGAGTAACACTGAGAGACAGAATACAACAACAAATTCAGCAGAAATGCGTCTAACAAATGATGACTGATCTGCATGTTCATGAGGGAAAGAAGGATTTGATCCCCTATCATTCAGCAGCAGGATTTCTGGCTCCCAGGTGTCTTTCATACAGGTAACAAGCTGAGATTAGAAGCAGTCTCTTAAAGGGAGTGCTGCTAATCTCATTGTGTTACCTGTATAAAAGACACCTGTCCACAGGAGCAATCAAACCATCAGATTCCAAACTCTCCACCATGGCAAAGACCAAAGAGCTGTCCAAGGATGTCAGGGACAAGATGGTAGACCTACACAAGGCTGGACTGGGCTACCAAACTATGGCCAAGCAGCTTGGTGAGAAGGTGACAACAGTTGGTGCAATCATTCACAAATGGAAGAAACACAAAACAAGTGTCAGTCTCCCTAGGTCTGGTGCACCATGCAAGATCTCACCTCGTGGAGTGTCAATGATCATGAGAACAGTGAGGAATCATCATCCCAGAACTACACGTGAGGATCTTGTCAATGATCTCCAGGCAGCTGGGACCACAGTCACCAAGAAAACAATTGGTAACACACTACGCCGACAAGGACTGAAATCCTGCAGTGCCCGCAAGGTCCCTCTGCTCAAGAAAGCACATGTCCAGGCCCGTCTGAAGTCTGCCACTGAACATCTGAATGATGCAGAGGAGGACTGGTGGGAAGTGTTGTGGTCAGAGGAGACCAAAATCCAGCTCTTTGGCATCAACTCAACTCGCCGTGTTTGGAGGAGGAGGAATGCTGCCTATGACCCCAAGAACACCATCCCAACTGTGAAACATGGTGGTGGAAACATTCTGCTTTGGGGGTGTTTTTGCTAAGGGGACAGAACAACTGCACCGCATCAAAGGGACGATGGACGGGGCAATGTACCATCAAATCTTGGGTGAGAACCTTCTTCCCTCAGCCAAGGCATTGAAAATGGGTGGGGGATGGGTGTTCCAGCATGACAATGACCCAAAACACACGGCCAAGGCAACAAAGGAGCGGCTCAAGAAGAAGCACATTAAGGTCCTGGAGTGGCCTAGCCAGTCTCCAGACCTTCATCCGATTGAAAATCTGTGGAGGGAGCTGAAAGTTTGAGTTGCCAAACGTCAGCCACCAAACCTTAATGACTTGGAGAGGATCTGCCAAGAGGAGTGGGCCAAAATCCCTCCTGAGATGTGTGCGAACCTGGGGGCCAACTCCAGGAAACATATGACCTGATTGCCAACAAGGGATTGGCCACCAAGTACTAAGTCATGTTTTGTGAAGGGGATCAAATCCTTCTTTCCCTCATGAACATGCAGATCAGTCATCATTTTTTAGACGCATTTCTGCTGAATTTGTTGTTGTATTCTGTCTCTCAGTGTTACACCGAACATTCCATTGTTAGACATTCCATTGTTAGACCGATCATTTCTGTGTGAGGGGCGAACATTCAGTGTGAGGGGCATTCAGCATCAGCCTGGGAGCAAATACACATTTCCTTCACTGTATATGCTAGAGATGGTCTGCATATAAATGGAAGGGGGTCTGCTGCTGTTGCTGGGGGAGGGGTTTATGGGAAGGCTGGAGGAGTATATAAACTAGGATGGAGGGGGGAGGGAGAATTCAGTTTTAACGGGGTAGACAGATCAGACAGGGGGTCAGTACTTGTTGGTGTTACAAAAAACCAGTGGAATTGGTACCATTTGTATGAAAATAAAAAATGCTCAAAATCCAAGGTGTCAGTGAATGAAAGGTGTCGGTGTGTAGTGAATGGACAAGGTGTCGGTGAATGGAACAAGGTGTCGGTGAATGAACAAGTGTCGGTGAATGAACAAGGCGTCGGTGAATGACAAGTGAAGTGTCAATGGTGGATGTCAGTGACAAGGTGTCAGTGAATGGACAAGGTGTCAGTGAATGACAAGGTGTCAGTGAATGGTGTCAGTGAATGAACAAGGTGTCAGTGAATGAACAAGGTGTCAGTGAATGAAAGTGTTTGTTCCCCAATGCCAGAAGTGTGCCCAGCACAATAGGTGAGTTGGAAGGTTTGGTGCATGAAGAGAACTAGGATTGAATTGGTATTGCTGAATCTTGGCTTCATTCCTCACATGACTGGGCCATTCATATTCCTGGCTAGGTTCTCTTTCGGAGAGACGGGGGAAATAGGAAAGGGGGTGGTGTCTGTCTCTATGTGAGAAGTGATCTCAGAGCGAGTGTGAAAGAGGACCTAGTTGATGGAGAGTGTGATGAGGCTGAAGTATTATGGGTGGAACTGCAACTGCACATGGGGGGCGGTACTACAAAGGTCATCATTGGAGTTTGTTATAGGCCTCCCAGTGTTAATGAGGAGGTGGAGACTCAGCTCCTCCCACAGATGGAAAGGGCTGGGACAGTGATAATAATGGGGGGTGGTAACGACCCGGAAAGTGACTGGAGTAATGGTACTGCGGGTGTAAACACAAAACAAACCCCCCTGCCCTCTATGGCCCAGAACAAGGGTGGATAGATGGACCCGGAACTTGAAGAAATTCCCCACCAAGGCATCAAAGGTTGTGCGGCTCTAAACAAGGCTGGGGAAGCCCCACCAATACTGGAAAGTGAAACAAAAAGCGCACCAACCTTGTGCATTACCTCAGTAAAATGTGATTTTATTGGATGTGAAAATATCCTCACAAACAGAGAAGTATAACAAGCGTGTAAAGTCCTTAGTGAGACTTGACCAATCAGAGACCAGCGCGAGTCTAAACACGAGGGAAGGTTCTCAGAGTCAGGCTGACGCGTTTCGAAGGGAGTCCCTTCTTCATCAGAGCTGACTTGGCAATGACAGCCCTCTTCTATATATACCCTGGGACAGAGGTTGGACCCTCCCACTTGGGTTGGGCAGTCCCGGGAAAGGAGGCGGGACAAAGGTGACATCACAACATGCTCACACAAGCAACAATACATTACACATCAAGAGGTATAGTAAGAGACATTAGAAACATTCACCGGCATTAAAGCTGTAAGAAACGCAGGGCAGTGTAATATATACATGAGGAGGTCATATAGTCTGTGTATATATATATATCCCCCATATAATAAATAATGACAATGACATATTGGGAATGCTGCATTGGGGTTCATGGGGATAATATTGTTGGATCAGCACAATGTATAAAAAGTAAAAATGAATGAATTGAATACATAATTCCTTTGGATAAAAGCCTGCTGGTTCCTCAATTGTTGGCTTCTTTCCATGGAGATAAATGTGAACACAAAGTAGGTATACACATACATTTCAATGGCAGCCAGAATGTCCTTGCTTTGTGTGGGCTGTCAGTGGGGTCATTGGGCAGATCTTTGTCTTTAGATGTATGGAGTATTCATGAGTAGTGTTACTATACTGGCAGCAGAGGGAGGGAGATCAAGTGCTGCCATTGCCAAATATGGCTTCTGGAGGTGAATTGGAATGCACGCCAAAAGGTGCGTGGCTGTGGGGGCGCATGTGCAATGAGGCGATGGCACGCTGGAGTAGTCATGGAGATGGGCCTCCGACGGGCTATCGCACATGTGCAGTGAGGGCTGGAGTAGTCATGGAGATGGGCCTCCGACGGGCTATCGCACATGCGCAGTGAGGCGGCGGCAGGCTGGAGTAGTCATGGAGATGGGCCTCCGACGGGCTATCGCACATGCGCGCAGCATGCTGGAGTAGTCATGGAGATGGGCCTCCGATGGGCTATCGCACATGCGCAGTGAGGCGACGGCATGGAGTAGTCATGGGATGGGCCTCCGACGGGCTATCGCACATGCGCAGTGAGGCGACGGCATGCTGGAGTAGTCATGGAGATGGGCCTCCGACGGGCTATCGCACATGCGCAGTGAGGCGGCGGCACGCTGGAGTAGTCATGGAGATGGGCCTCCGATGGGCTATCGCACATGCAAGCCAAAGTCAGCTTATCATTTACCTAGTGGAGTGCACTCCGGACATCCCGGAAGGACGGCTGTGAGATGTGTTTCCAGCCGTGACTGTAAAGTTGGACATCTCCCTACAACTCTTGGGACAATTAGCCTGCATGTGACCTCGCTGTCTCCATCTACAGCATCAAGTCTGGGGTGCTCTTCCTTTATGTCTCCACCTGTTTTCCAAACCAAGAGATCCTCCCCTAAACCTTGGGGTGTTGGTGGGATTGACCTGAGCCTTTACAT